AAGAAGAAGAAGAAGAAGAAGAAGAAGAAGAAGAAGAAAAAAAGATAAAAGAAGAAGAAGAAAAGAAGAAGAAGAAGAAGAAGAAGATGGAGAAGAAAAGAAGAAGAAAAAAAGAAGAAAAAGAAAAAATGAAGAAGAAAAAGAAGAAAAGAAGAAGCAATTAGAAAAAGAGAAAAGAAGAAGAAGAAAAGAAGAAGAAAAAATGGCGATAGAAGAAAAGAAGAAAAAAGAGAAGAAGAAGAAGAAGAAGAAGAAGAAGATAGAAAAGAAGAAGAAAAATAGAAAAAAAAGAAGAAGAAGAAGAAGAAGAAAAAAGAAGAAAAAGAAGAAGAAAAGAAGAAGAAGAAGAAGAAGAAAGATAGAAAAAAGAAGAAAAGAAGAGAAGAAAAGAAGAAGAAAAAAAATAGAAAGAAAAGAAAAAGAAGAAGAAAAAGAAGAAGAAAAAAGAAGAAGAAGAAAAGAAGAAGGAGATAGAAAAGAAGAAGAAAAGAAAAAGAAGAAGAAGAAGAAGAAAAAAATGGAGAGATAAAAAGAAGAAAAAAGATGGAGAAGAAAAGAAGAAAAAAATGGAAAGAAAAGAAGAAGAAGAAGAAGAAGAAGAAGAAGAAAAGAAGAAGAAGAAGAAAAAAGAAAAAGAAAAATAGAAAGAAAAGAAGAAGAAGAAGATGAAGATTAGAAAAAAGAAGAAAAAGAAGAAGAAGAAGAAGAAGAAAAATAGCGAAAGAAAAGAAGAAGAAAAAGAAGAAGAGAAAAAGAAGAAAAAAGAAGAAGAAGAAAAAGAAGAAAAAAGAAGAAAGAAAAGAAGAAAAAGAAAAGAAGAAGAAGAAAAGAAGAAAAAAATGGAGATAGAAAAAGAAGAAGAAAAAGAAGAAGAAAAGAAGCAAAAAGATAGAAAAGATGAAGAAGAAGAAGATGGAGATAGAAAAGAAGAAGAAAAAGAAGAAGAAGAAAAGAAGAAGAATTAGGAAAAGAAGAAAAGAAGAAGAAGAAGAAGAAGATAGAAAAGAAGAAGAAAAAAATAGAAAAGAAGAAGAAGAAGAAGAAGAAGATAGAAAAGAAGAAAAAAAGAAGAAGAAGAAGAAGAAGAAGAAGAAAAGAAGAAGAATAGAAAAGAAGAAGAAGAAAAGATAGAAAAAAAAGAAGAAGAAAAGAAGAAGAAGAAAAAGAAGAAGAAGAAGAAGAAAAAATGGAGATAGAAAAAAGAAGAAGAAAAAGATGAAGAAAAAAGGAAAAAGAAAAAAAAAGAAGAAGAAAGAAGAAAAAAGAATGGAAAAAGAAGAAAAGAAGAAGAAAAAGATGAGAAAAAGAAGAAGAAGAAAAGAAGAAAAAAAGAAGAAAAAAAAGAAAAGAAGAAAGAAAAGATGGAGATAGAAAAGAAGAAGAAAAAGAAGAAGAGAGAAAAAGAAGAAGAAAAAGGTGGAGATAGAAAAGAAGAAGAAAAAGATGAAGAAGAAAAAGAAGAAGAAAAAGATGGAAAGATAGAAAAAGAAGAAGAAAAAGATGAAGATAGAAAAGAAGAAAAAGAAAAAAGAAGAGGAAGAAGAAGAAGAAGAAGAAGAAGAAGAAGAAGAAGATGGAGATAGAAAAGGAAAGAAGAAAAAGATGAAGATAGAAAGAAGAAGAAAAAAGATGAGAAGAAGGAAAAGAAGAAAAAGAAGAAGAAAAGAAGAAGAAGAAAAAAAAAAGAAGAAAAGAAGAAGAAAAAGAAGAAAGAAGATAGAAAAGAAGAAGAAAAAGATGGAGATAGAAAAGAAGAAGAAAAGATGAAGATAGAAAAAGAAGAAGAAAAAGATGGAGAAAAATAGAAAAGAAGAAGAAGAAGAAGAAGAAGAAGAAGAAAAAGAAGAAGAGAAGAAGAAAAAGAAGAAGAAAAAGATGGAGAAAAAAAGAAGAAGAAGAAAAGATGGAGATAGAAAAGAAGAAGAAAAATGGAGATAGAAAAGAAGAAGAAAAAGATGGAGATAGAAAAGAAGAAGAAAAAAAGATAGAAAAAGAAGAAAAAAAGAAGAAGAAAAGAAGAAGAAAAAGCAATGGAAAAAGAAGAAGAAAGAAGAAGAAGAGAAGAAGAAGAAAAAGAAAAAGAAGAAAAAGATGAAGAATAAAAAGAAGAAGAAAAAGATGAAGAAGAAAAGAAGAAGAAAAGATGAAGAAGAAAGAAGAAGAAAAAAGAAGAAGAAGAAGAAGAAAAAGAAGATTAGAAAAAGAAGAAAAAATGGAGAAGAAGAAGAAGAAGAAAAGATGGAGATAGAAAAGAAGGAAAAAAAATAGAAAAGAAGAAGAAAAAGATGGAGAAGAAAAGAAGAAGAAAAAAATGAAAAGAAGAAAAGAAGAAGAAGAAGGTGGAGATAGAAGAAAAAAGAAAAGAAGAAGAAGAAGAAGAAGAAGAAAAGATTAGAAAAAAGAAAAAGAAGAAGAAAAGAAAAGAAGAAGAAAAGAAGAAGAAAAATAGAAAAGAGAAAGAAAGAAGAAAAAGCAATGGAGATAGAAAAGAAGAAGAAAA